GGCAAAGTAAAAAGAATCATTGAGATCGTCACAAAATCAGCTCACCTTTGCTTAAGGATACGAATGAGCATGATGCTCACTTTTGATTTGTTTGAACTCCATTCTATGACAAAGTAAAAAGAATCATTGAGATCGTCACAAAATTAGCTCTCTGTTGCTCACGCATGAAAGTAAACATGAAGCATGCTTTCAGTTTTCGTTTGTGCGGATTGTGTGGGAATGTAGTTAATATTGTTTCAGAGTGTGTGTTAGTAATGTGAGTTATTAGCCTTGTTTATATGGGTGATGTTGGATTAGAATACCTTGTGGTGTTTTTCCTTGTTTTGATATATTTAGTGACGTGTTTTTGTGGGAAATGCCTTCATTTGACTCTGCTGTGAAGGGTTTTTGTTTTGCCTTTTTTTCGGTGTAGAGAGTATTGTTTTTTTTCTGCGTTAAGTGTAGGAATCCTGGTGGTTGGCGTAATGAAGTTATTTCGTGGTCGGATGTTGTTTTCTGGTGTGGTGAACAGTATGGTAGGTTTCTGAGTGGTTCTTGTCGGTTTTAGTATGTTCCGGTGCTGGGTATGGGACGGATTTTACCGGATATATTGTCTTGTTGTGCGACGCAATCCGGATAATTCCTAGGATTTTCTGATATCGGAATTCTATGGTTCGTATCGGATGCGGCTGATCTCACTTGTCGGATCCGCTGGTTTCTGTTTGGTGGGTTGGGATCGGAACCCGTGTAATCCGGTCGACGTTTTTGATCGGATAATTGTGGAGTTTGTCGGATTTCACCGGACGGCATCCGATCGGTTCCGGTCACCGAATCGAACCGGTTTTGAAAGGGGGCCGACAAGATCCGATCCCCCATGTTTCTCATGGGTAGTTGACACACCTTTATTATTCGTCCTTGTATGGTGGCTCTTATATAAAAAAAACGCACACATACAGAATATTCACTTCTCAACTTGTTATATAAAACAATTGCTCATTGATGCGATGAGTACAACATCAGATCAAACGACTAATGATCATTCGAATGATACTGTTTTACACGAAGATGATTTGACTGAACAAGCCAAAAATCAATTTGTTTATCACAGTGATATCCTTCGTACCTTCGAATCATATCGTCAAAGTGTACTTTGTAATGAATATATAACACCTATTGGTCGAAATTTTTTTCTATCCGAACTTCATACTTTACACAAATTGTAAGCCTGTTCTAAATTATGCAGTTGAACACAACGAAATTTTCAATCAAAATTTGCCTACTATTGGTCCGTTGGTAGTTTGTGGCCTTGCACGTACAGGTACAACATTACTCTTTAATTTGCTTGCCTGTGATCCGAATTGTCGTGTACCATTGTTCACTGATATGAGTGTTGAAATTGTTTCACCGATTCCACGATCCGATTCGATTGGACAAAAACGACGGCTTGATCTTTTAAAATCTCCTCAACAAGACAATGAACAATTGTCCGATGTGCTCATTCGAATAGCTGCATCTCATGCACATTTTGATATTGAAGAAGATTCTTTTATTCTACGTCAAGCTGGCTATTTTTGCATGAGTATTCTTCTATCTGATGATGAAGATGATACTTCTGAGAGTTGGATTCGTAAGGAGATGAACAAAGATTATGTATATGATTATCATGAAACATTTCTACGTATGTTAAATACTGTTGATATGCCAAAATCGCATTGGCTATTAAAATCACCATTCCATATTTTTTCTTTTGATAAATTGCTTGAACATTATCCGAATGCATTATTAATCATTCCACATCGAGGTATTGATGAAGTTCTTCCGTCAATGTGTAGTTTGTTATTGACAGCTGCTGATTTGTATTTTGATAAAACAAACTCGATCAGTCGCGATAGAATAATAAAACGATGTTGTCAATTTGTCGATACAGAAATTGAATGTATGATGAAATTTCGAAAATCAGAAAACGGTATACTTGCTCAATTGAAAAAAACATATTTTCGATATTACTTATGAGAATTTGATGAAAGATCCAATTGGTGTTGTCCATCAAATATATGATTATTTTAACCTTCATTGGTCGAATGAAATGGAAATGGCTATGCGTGATTGGTTTCTCAAAAATCCTCAAGGAAAACAAGGTCGTCACGCATACTCACTTGCTGAGTTTGGCGTCAATCGGGAAGATATCGAAACACGTTATGCTGACTATATCAATTTGTTTCTGTCTTCGAATAATCAATCATTATCGACAACTTCTATTTCTTCATAATTGAAACAATATCTTCTATTGATTTTGATTTAAATTGTTACTACAAATAATAAAAAAGGCTTTATAAAAAAAAGAAAATACTAGACGGATATATGAATTTGTAATGGGTTACAACCACTTGCCAAAGTTGATGAAAAAAGGGTTTATGAAAGAATAGATTATACTCATAAACCTAAAGAGGACTTATCTAATGGTAATAAACAAATAGTTAAAGGTTATTATTTTCCACTTATTTTTTACAGGGCGTGAGTGGATGTGGGTGTGTTAGGATAGATGACGAAAAATCCACACTCACACCCTAAAATAAACTAGAATTGTTTAAAAGGAAATCGAAATCAAGGTATTTGGGACATGAGTATGAAAGTAAATCATTTAATTCTGTTAACTTCACTTTTCTTTTTTTATAAATAGATTATATTATAAGATGATATACATTCTATTTTTATGCTAGAAAAAATGACATTATAAATAAATATGGAAAATAAAGAACATCAAGATAGTTGACTCAATGTTCAATACGATATCTTCTTTTGCGTCAAAGAACTATTCACAACTTTTTTCTTGTTCTTATATTTCAAACAAAAAGATAACAGTTTATCTTTTCACATTCTCTTTGTAGTTTGTCAAAGATACAAAATTCTTTTTTTCATATATAATTGCACAACTATTTTCATTCTTATGACATATATACATATATCAATTGAAAGATTACCACTTGAACGATTTTATCGTATATTTGATGATCTTGACATTGAAACTATTTTATTTTCAGTTCGATCTATGTCAAGATTATTCTTCGTGTCAGTTGTTAAGACTTATAATCGATTTATTTTCGAGTTTAAATCAGTGTGAAAATTGAAGTGTCATTTGCTTTGTCAATTAATTAATCTTAAAAATCTAGTATGATTAAGACTTGATAACAATAAATAAAGATTAGATTGAATAGATTTCTTTATTTCATTTGTTAATTTTCGACGATTGACTTGACTTCGTTCATTAATTCTTATTGATGTTGATCAATATGAATTAAACATGATCTTAAAATGTATTAATAAAAATTAGCTAATTTCATTTTCATTTAATATTCGAAAATATGATGATCGATGAGAAAACAAAAAACAGTAAATCATCTTACATCAATTATAGAACAGTTGAGTCTTAAAAAAATTTCAATTAAATATTAAAAATTTGAGATTATCAACAAATTTATAACCTCAAAATTCTAAGCTCGAATATTTAATTCTAAATGAAGGAATTATTTTTGATTATCTATGTATTATCGTTCAACATTTTTGCTCATCTTCATACATTGATTCTTAAGGAAAGTTAAAAGAATCTAATCAATGACTTAATGTTAAAATGATCTATTTCATCATGTTTCTTTTCACAATTAACTTCATTGACTATCGAAAAACTCGATGTTATAATTGATAAACTTGAATCATTTCTTTTGTTAACATTTGAACTTATTTATGTTGAAATTGATTGGTGAAGAAAATGAAATTGATGGAAAATGATGGAAAGAATTTATTCAAATAAATTTAATTTATTTATAAAAATTCCAATTTTTTTTTAATGCTTACAAATCAAATAAACAAAGTATTGAAGATTTAGAATTAATCTTATCATTGTTTAAAAGACCATTTTGGATTGAATACAAAAAAAAACTGGTTTGTTAATTGTGAATGTGATACAGACAATCTTCATTGTATTTTTCTTTATTCAATACCAATATGTAAATCTTTTCTTAAATATAAACAGTTAAGAATCATTGTCAAACAATGTTTATATTTATCAATACTTCAATTTGATATAATATAAACCCTCAATTCTCTACTGAAATAATCAGATGTTTTACAATAAATACATTAAATTCAATTTTTCGAAAAAGTTATCGAAGTCTTTCTATATGAATTGGAAACAAAATAATTCAATCAGATCAAATTAAACATGATAGAAAATGTATTAGATTAACTGATGATCAAATTTGATTCTTAATTTATTTGATTTTTTTAAATAAGTTGATAATAATAATAATAATAATAATAATAAAAATGAATATTGATCAAATTTTACTTTCAAAGTTCGATGGAATATTAACTTCAATTAATGCCTATTTCAAATGTTGTTCACAATGTTTAATTACCATCAACAAACGTTCTCATTTATCACATTGGACATTTTTTATTATTTAAAAATAATAAATTTTTACAAAACAAATTTATGTTTATTTTGTTTACAAAAAAACATTCTATCAAACATGCATAGTTTCACACATAGAACAGGCAGATAATAATTGAGATATACATCTTCAATTTCTCTTCTAATCAATTTTCGAGCATTCATCGACCATTTCCATTGTCTCTTTATAAAGATGGGTGTGGCGTGTGGGTATGGGTGGGGGTGGGTGGGGGTGGGGGTGGGTGGTGTGAGTGTGGGTACTGATGCGGGAGTGGATGTAGGCGAGGGTACTTATAAATATAGAGATAACACACACCCACACTCACATCCACACCCACACCCACACCCGCACCCACACTCACACCCACACCCACACTCACACTAACATGCACACCCGCACCCACACGCACACCCACACCCCACCCACACCCAAACCCACACCCACACAAACAGCCACAGCCACACCCCACACCCACTCGCACAGCCACAGCCACCCACACCCGCAACC